GCCCGAAACAGCTGTCCAGAGCTCCGCATCTTTTTTCTCTTGGCATCACATGGTCTATTGTTACATGTGTATGCGCTGGCAGGATATGGGTGCTTGCTGGCTTCATTGCTGCGGCCCAATCCACTATGTCAGCATGCTGAATTTGGGTTTGGCTCGTTACTGGCAACGCCTTGTGGGGATGAATCTCATTAGTTCAGAACCACAAGCGCTGCGCCTGAGCAAAGCCTTGTGGGGATGAATCTCATTAGTTCAAAACCACAAGTGCTGCGCTCAACTTTGCCTTTATAAACTCGTGATGCCAGAGAGAGAAGTTGGGGTATGCTTTGCTGATGAGGGCTAACAAGCCCCAAACAGCTGTCCAGAGCTCCCCATCTTTTTTCTCTTGGCATCACATGGTCTATTGGTACATGCTTATCACCCTGCACTGCCCTTCCGTGCAACGGGTTAGGCTACTCCTCAGAAATAGATAGCGGTAAGACAGCCTGAGGTAGCACTGTTGCAGCCCTGTAGGTAGTCACATGTGGTTCTTTGTCCTTAGTCAGTGTAGACTGACTACAGTGGACGAGCAGGACAACTTAAAAGCATTATTTAGTTACTGTGCTCCCTCTTCCTTGGGAGCTTTTAGCTCTTCTCCCGGCAGCATAAGAGAAGCAAACGCAACTCGCCCGTTTTGTCCGCAATTCTGCTTATCAAACTGAAATTCGGCGTTTGATGTCCACGGTTACCATGGTAAATGCTGATTTGCCGTCATAATTGCCAATAAATCAATTATAGCATGCCTCGTCAGCATGTTGCGGTTTATTCTGCCCTCGGGCGTCAGGCGGAATATACCAGCAAAATACCTCCTCGCCACATTATAACCAATACAAAGTGTGGCGTTAAGGTAGCACAAATCCTGTGGGTTCCCTTTGATGATGGGTGCTCTAGTCCATAGATATGTTACGTAGCTACTTTCCTACAAAGCTCAAGAATAGCAATTTTATTGCAAAGAACAAACACAACCACCCATGCAGAGGCAATAAAAGCTTCCTGTTTGTCAAAATCCCTTTTAACTTGTTGCGTTTTTGCGTTCAAGGACACATGCTTATAGAACATGAAAAATCCAAACTATACCAACATGATTTCAGCAAGACTATAACACTCACATAACTCGACCAAAGGTATCTTGAGGATGTATCTGTAAAAAAAGGGGTAATATTATAAACAATGCAAATAGAAAAAACCATAACATGAGTACTACCAATGCAAGCGCACGAATAACATGAGCAGGTGCACGAAGTTATCCATAACCACGAAGTTATCCATAACCAATGGAAGTGGTACTGCCACACGGACCTTATAAGCTGCCGAGATAAAGCTAGTCTCATGTGGTATCAACCAAAAAGGGAACAACCTATGGATGATCAGTCAAGATAAAATCTGTCATCATTGCTCACGAAGGTCCTTAGTAACCATCGCCTACGTGTCTTTCTCTGACTAGATGCTCTCGGTTCAACGGTATTTTAGCATCCTTCAATTAGTCCTCCTGCAAGGTCAGACCTAAATGGTTCTAGGACTTTTGTATGTTCCAACATCTCAACACTCCTGTTATTCTTTCTTGCATTCATTGCAGGTCCTGGTACTAAAAACAGGTCTGTCGGCAGTCGATGGCATGCAGTTTTCCTTTGAATGTCAGACCTAAGTGTTAGGTATGCCCCATTTGGAAGAGGTACAAGTGGGTATCTGTCGAGTCAGAGCCCTCCTCTAGTCTTGTGTGCGACTTCTTATAATGGTGATCCTCCTCTTAATCCACCAATATCTTTGGACATCATCACAAATGTGGGCAACATCAGTTTCGGCATTCCTTGCTTCTAGTGAACTCTCACCTAGTTAACCAACAGAGCTGCTTGCCATCGATAGCAATGCCAATCAATGTTTCAGAAAGATCATTCAAGTCAGGGCAGGTTCACATAGACCCACAGGCTACATCCTGAAACAGCATGGCTGGAGTACACAACAGCCTATGGACACTGTCCTGGCCCCCCATTTTATAACCACTTCAGGGTATATAACCTATCCAAAATTGCCACGCTCCCTAGCATTTTGTAAGGTATAACAAAGGCTGGTTTCCTCATTCTTTTCGTAGTCTGCATACACATCAGAAGAGACAGGAGTGGGCACAATAAGAATATTTTTTGTGTTCAGAAACAGTATGTGTGTGAAGAAATATTATACATTCAGATGAAAGGTTTACCTGTTCATAAGTACAGAATATAGCATTGGAAAATGATATGGCACACCAGGCAAGCAGGGCATTGACACTGTGTGAGAGAAAAATTACCGTGGAACAAATCCAACACTGCACTGTTCATTCAACAACTTATTCACAAACGAGTTCAAGGTTTTTTCATATGTATGAAAAATGTTTTTTTATTACTATAGCGCCAACGATATAGGTTTGTTAATAGCTTCATAAAATGAATCATTCACCACTATAACTGGATCATGGTACGTAACTATAAGTTATGATTACGAAACGCTCTACAAATGTAACTTTCCTAGGTCTACCAGTCTCCTACTCAGCAGCTCCCCCCAACAAGGGGAAAGGAGAAGCGTCTGGTAGCTTTTGACACAACACAAGACATCATATCCGTGGAATATATACAAATATACACATGATTTGCCGTTCTGCAATTTGATTGGAGATCTCATTTTCAAGATCTACGTAGGACTAAGAAATTTTTCATAGTTACCAGACCCCTTTCCCACGTGATGAGTGAGTGGGGTCTGGGCACGAGACTATACTAAGGGTTGAGATAGATGTGATAGGCTTTGAATGGAGACACATAACCAAAAATACTGCAAGGTTTAAATCCATAATAAAACTCTTCCGTCAGGTGACACAGTCAGATTAGAGTCGTCTGTGATGTCCTATTCTCTGGCTCCTAGTTGCCTTGTTCCTCTCCAAGGAGTCAGGGTTCCCAGAGTGAATAATATCCAACCACTTGGAGTGGTAAAAGTGGTGCCAGTTACGGTTGTTAATAACTTACAGGCACACTTGAGTACAGTAAAATGATATCATGATTGCATTGAATGACTCTGTGGTAGAGCACGTCCGCAGCGGCGAAGAGGTCTTGGCTGAGAATAATTATTTTCCAAAATAGTAGTTGTATTACTCATCACCATGCTGAGCAGCTAGCTCCTTTTATACAAAAAGGACAGGAAAAGGTGGGTGAGTGACAGGTACAACAGAGTGTGGGTAGGAAAGATATGGGTGGAATAACTGAAAAGGGTGACAGAATGCATATCAGACAGGTATAGGTGAAATAGGTTAAAGGGTGACAGAATGCATACAGACAGTTATAGGTGAAATCATCGGAGCCAGCTACTCTCTAGATACTAATACGGTGAAGGGCTTAGCATTACTCTTGTCACTAAAATTCAGTTACCAGGAAGGGCAAGGGACGTAGGAGGTTGCATGCAAAGTCCTTCACACTCCCCCCTCCTTCTCTGGCGACGAAGTGGTGGGGTCATCAACGAAAGCTCGAGAGAGAGAGACCATCAGCATTATTATTTGCCGATCCTGCTCGGCACCGGACGATAAACTGATAGGGCTGGAGAGCCAGACTCCATCTGGTCAGACGAGTGTTGTTGTCCTTCAGGCGGTCAAACCACCAACAAATTATGCGTGGCAGCTTTGATGGCGAGGCATTCTTTCTCTATTATGGAGTACCTCGTCTCCCGGCGTAGAAGTTTGCGACTGGAATGCTACTGGGTGTTGTCATTGCACTGGCTCAACACAGCACCAATACCCCTTTCTGATGCGTCCGTTTGTGGGATGAACTCCTTGGTGAATTCCGGGCTACTCAATATCGGCTCTGAGCACAGCTTGCTTTTTAACGTGTGAAAAATGTTTTCACATTCCTCCGTCCATTTCACACGATTTGGTGCGTTCTATCTGGTGAGGTCCGCCAGCGGAGATGTAATCCCTGCGTAATCCAGAATGAACTTTCAGGAGAGCCCTTACTCGTTTCTTGGTTGTGGGGGTTGAAAATTCGCTCACAGCTCACAGCTTCGTCTTCTCGGGACGTACCTCCACACTTCCAACGATGTGTCCTAAGTAGGAACAGCTGTCCATTCCAAACTGCCATTTCTTAGGTCAGATGGTGAGCCCCGCTTTCTGGAACTGATGCAGCACGTTGCTGATGTGCCGAATGTGGTCCTCCCAGGTGGTGCTATGGATAACGACGTCATCCAAGTACACTGCAGCGTAGTCGGTGCAACCAAACAGCAGTTGATCCATCATGCGCTGGAACGTAGCGGGGGCTCCGTGAAGCCAAAATGGTATTACCCGAAATTGGAAGAACCCGTAGGGGATAGAGGCGGTTTGGGGTCGCGTTTCTTCTTGCACGGGGACCTGCCAGTACCCACGGGCAAGGTCCAGGGTTGTTATGTACTTGGCCTTGCCAAGTGTGTCGATCATGTCGTCTATGCAGGACATCGGCATCAGCATCAGAGATAGCGTTGAGCCGTCGGTAGTCTACGCACATACGCAGCAAGCCATCCTTCTTCTTGACGAGAACGATTGGAAAAGCCCATTCGCTGGATGAACGTTCAATGATTCCCTCACTTTCCATGTCCTCTAGCTCCTTTTTACAATGCTGTGATGTGCGTCCTGCCAGGGCGACTGCTTAGGACGCCCACAAAAGTTTGGAGTAACTGGCCCAGCTCCGTTCGTTGGACGGGTGATATCTGCTGGCAAAATTTTCTGAAGAGCCCTCACTGAAAAATAGTAGCATACAAAGGCATGTAACAAGCGTTAAGCATACAACTGGGAAAGAGAAGTTAGCCAGGAAAGAAAACAGAGATATGGATATAGTTCAAGCCTTGAGCCTTGAAAAAGTATGACACTGACTTTCATCCGTCAGGTGAAACTCTACCTGAGGCCGTAGAGTGTATCGTGTAATGGTTCTAAGCACTTTTTTAAAGGTGTGTGTCCCCATAAACAAGATCAATGACTTTCGTGATCTCTTGGAAGAATATGCATTTCGTCTTGCCGGAAGAAAGCCCATGTCGGATGATCATGTGGGAGACCACTTTGACACACCTGTCCTGTATGACTTTGGTACAAGCTGGGTGAGCCTCTTCTTTCACAGCCTCATGGCCTGTTTACTATTGAGAACACGTACTGGTCAGGCAATGTGGTCTTATAGTCAAACACGATGGTGGAGCCGCTGGGAAGTTTATCAGCATCTGATGGATCTCTTTGCTGATGTCCTACCTTTTCTGAAGGAAAATCCTGACCTTGCTCCAGCCACACGCAGAGAGCTCTTGGCCATTCTACAAGACACCCAGAAAAGCTCTTAACTTCAACTAGAGTTAGCAGATGCTAGAGAACCATTTGTAAAGGCCACTTACAACAGAGGGTTAGTGAGCTGGAACAGGGGAGCAATTCTGGAGAATGAAGGGATGAACCTCCTGTAGTAAGAGGCCAACCCCACAAAGGATCGGAGAGATTTCAGGTCTTTGGGGATGGGAACATCGCGAACGGGTGTGACTTTTGCTTGGTCTGGTGAGATCCCTTCAGATGTCACAATGTAGCCCAGATATTCTACACTCCGCATTGCCGCATTTCTTGGGCTTAAGACAAAGTCCAGCTCCTTGTAGATAAACGAACGCTTGTCGCAGGTTCTGTAGATGGTTGTCGAATGTCGTGCCAATGACGAGCATGTCGTCGAGGTACACCATGCATGAGTTCTTTGCCAACCCAACCAGTACCGTCTCCATCAAATGCTGGAAGGTGGCCGGTGCATTACACAGGCAAAAGGGCATGATGCGAAACCCGTACAGGCCAGATGGAGTACAGAACACCGTCTTTTCCTGTGATTCGGGCTCCATTGGGACTTGCCAATACCCCAGAAGCCAAATCCAATGTTGTGAACTATTTGGTATGAGCGAGCAAATCAAGAGAGTCATCAATTCTTGGCAATGGAAATACGTCGAGCTTTCTGATGGTGTTTAGCTGTCTGTAATCAATATAAAATTGAGTCCTGCCGTCTTTTTTCATCACCAGCACTACAAGACTGGCCCAGGAGCTCTTAGATGGCTGTATTACTCCCTTGTCCTAGATTTCGTCTACCATGTCATCAATCTTCTTGCGCAACAAGAATGGAACCCCTTGGTACTTGTCGTATTAGTGGATGGTCGCCAGTGTCAATGGAGTGTCGAGCCATACTGGTTCCCTCTAGTTCATGGCGAATATATCCTCATAGTCCTCGATCACTTGTTGGAGCTGAGCAAGTTCAACGTTGGTCAGTTGGGACTTATCTACTTCTAGAATTTCATGCAATTTCTCTACCCGCACTTCCTTATCTCCCCTTCCCAAAAACACCTGACCCACCACCGGATCTGACATCTCTTTGACACCTTCTCCCTCTGAGACCTCACACACTTGCTGCAGCTCACCCAGGATGTCTCCTTCGCAGAGATGAACAGTGATTTTGTCTGGATTCTGGAGTACCAGGGTAGTAGTGCGGATCATCATTGACACCAACGATCCCCTCCTCAGCCCCTTGGTTTCAGGAGTCATTTGTTGGTTTGAACATTGGAGTGGCTTCACGGGCTGGTAAGAACCCTTTGGGCGCCATAGGTGTCTCCTTAAATAAGCAGAAATTGATGTATAACATATTAGCGCCTAGTATTATAGCCATATATAAACTCTTATGCACTTATGGAGGCTCTGTGCATATATATATGTAAATGGTGCCCAAAGGGTTTTAACTCGAGCTTGGACAATGTGCGCATATAATGGGCAGGCAAATGTACGACTTGAAGAAGTCGGACAACAGGAGGTTGTTGCTGTCCCTCGTCTTGATTTCTGCTTCTGGCTGTGGTAGGAGGTCTTTCCCCACTCTTCTGCAGCAGCTGAAATCTGAGGTGAGGCTGAAGGTCGTTGCCAAGCAACAGGTCTTCAAGAGCCCGATTTTGCCCTAATACCACTGCAGTCTTCCTGTATGGTCCACTCTGGATTGTAGCTGAAAGTTGTGTAACGATATCCAACCCTCCTCCTCCATAGCTCCGAAGTGTCACCTCCAGGGGCTTTAGTGTCTGTTTGATCACACGCTTCCATTCCGACGGGGTTTGACAGCTATTTGCAGTTGTTGACGGAGTTGCTCCATTCGGTGTTCTCCTTGATCTTGTGTGTCTTGGTTATCATCCCGAGTAACTGCTGCAGACACTGTTTTCTTGTGTTGTGCTCGTTCTTCCCTGGAGTTTCTTTATTACGCCATCAGCAATGCAGAGAATCACGTGCTCGG